ACAGTCGGTACTACAGTCAGTACTACAGTCAAAACACAGAACACAGTACTACAGTTAGTACTGCAGTCAGTACTACAGTCGGTACTACAGTCAGTACTACAGTCAAAACACAGAACACAGTACTACAGTTAGTACTGCAGTCAGTACTACAGTCGGTACTACAGTCAGTACTACAGTCGGTACTACAGTTGGTACTACAATCAGTACTACAGTCAGTAGTACAGTCAGTAGTACAGTCAGTACTACAGTCAGTACTATAGTCAATACACAGAACACAGCACTACAGTCAGTATAGAAACACAGTACTACAGTCAGTACTACAGTCGGTACTACAGTCGGTACGACAGTAAGTACTACAATCAGTACTACAGTCAGTACTACAGTCAGTACACAGAACACAGTACTACAGTCGGCACTACAGTTGGTACTACAGTCAGTACACAGAACATGGTACTACAGGTAGTACTACAGTCAGTACAGAGAACACGGTACTACAATCGGTACTACAGTCGATACTTCAGTCAGTACACAGAACACAGTACTACAGTCAGTACACAGAACACGGTACTACAGTCAGTACTACAGTCGGTACTACCTGCTGATGTCTCCTTCACTTGTCTGTATTGGTTGTTCTGTTTTCTAAATAAGTCATGTTATGTTACTTCCCGTTTTCCCGTCAGGCTCCGCCCCCTCTAGACTGATTGGTTGGAATTCATCTGAATCCACCAGTCAGATCACAGCTTAATATTTACATGCTCAGGTGAAACTCCCAGATGAAGCTGAAAAACCGGATCAAAACCCTCAGAGTACTTTTACTGACTACTACGACCATCACTGCTGCTGCTGGTACCCGTTAATCTGTGATCGACTGCCTGGAGGCTGTTCTGTGACTGAGCTTCCTGTCAGTGTTTTTGACAGAAAGAGGAAGAAGTGAAGGATTGGAGAAGTTCACGGAGGAATGACGGGCAGCCAACAGGAAGCATCAGCTGACCGAAACACGCAGTGATGTCACAGCTGAACTGGAACGAAGACAAACCGAGTTTTAGCCACTAAAGCGGCGTGAACAGAAAGAGGCTGAACAGGGCGCCGACGTCATTTCACAGAAACGTCTTTATTAGAAAACCTTCAGCTCAAAGTAACTTCTTCTGTCCAGAAGCTGAACCATGTGTCAAACATTCTCAACAACAACAAACATCATCAACAACAAAAAACAGCTTTTAGTGCAACTTCATTACTTTAAAACTTCTCCTGAGGTTCCTGAATGGCCCAGGCCGCCTCCCTCCTGATCAATAACTAGCCGCCGATCAATCTGCTCCGTCAATCGTAGGAAGCCCACCTGAAGCTGGTTCACCTGCTTCGACTCTGCTTCTGTTCATCATTTGCCTGCTGGTGCATTAAAGGACGCTCAGATGTTCCACATTTGTGAGTTACAAAAAGTCACACAGTCTGAGGGTCCTTGAATGCAGCAGATCAGAAGGTTTCTGTCGTCGTCCAGGAAACCAGCTGAGGTACCAACACCAGTTAGCTGAGCATGTGACCCGGACATGTGGGTTCTACTGGTCCGGTCTGGCCCGGTCTGCGGAGAGTCTGCTGGCGTTGATGATCCCTGAGAAGTGATTGGCTGGAGCTCCGACGGCGTCGCTCAGCAGCGAAGATCTCTGCAGACGGAACAAAGACGTGGTGAACATTCAGGTCACATGACTGAACCTGCAGACAGGCGTCTCTTTTAGCTGGTTTTGTTTCTGGCTTCTTCTACTCTGTTTATTGCAGCTAACGCAGCTGCAGCGCCACCTCCTGACCAAGAACCCCACATCTGAAAAGTTTGCCTGAACTTTTCCTCACATTCTGCCGATCACAAATTAAAACGTACTTTTTGCTTTTTAATTTGACATGGAGTTTTAATGGGATGTATTTTATAGCAGTAAAACCTGTTCAGCTCCATTCAGACGGAGCTCAAATATTAATGTACGTGCTCAGAAAGTCGACCTAAACGGTTTCACTGAGGATCATTACTCTGGACGAATCGATCGCTGTTTGCTTCTCAAATGTCTTGTTCAGTCCAGAGATGTTCACTTTAGTGCCACAGAGGACAGAAACCAGAAAACATTCACTGAAGGAGCTGCAATCACAGAATTGAGTTTTTATTTTTTTTTTAAATATTCAAACTGATTAATGGATTAATGTAATTAACTTATGAGTTGACAGTTGATGGATTCAAAACAACAGATGAACCAAAACAGGAATCCGTTGGAGACTTCCTGTTTCAGCCCGGCGGCTCTGCTGACTGTTCAGGGACTCCGTGTGAATGCTTCCATGTGAAAATCACCAGACGTTGTTATTTCTCTCTTTCTGCTTCACAGACAGGTTTCACAGGTTTCCATCTGATTTTCACACAAAAAAATGATAAAATGCAGAAAACCAACACTAAGATTCTCTTTAAAATACGAGATACAGGAACTGATCAGCTGCTTTAATAATGAATTCATCAGTTTGACTCCATCCATCCATCATCTCTACACCTTCATCCTCACCAGGGTCATGGGGGGCGGAGCCTATCCCAGCTGACTCAGGGTGAAGGCAGGTTCACCTGGACAGGTAACCAGTCTATCACAGGGCTACACTTAGAGACAGACAACCAAGCACACTCACATTCACACCTACGGACAATTTACAATCACCAATTAACCTCAGCATGTTTCTGGACTGTGGGAGGAAGCCGGAGAACCCGGAGAGAACCCACGCTGCACGGGGAGAACATGGAGACTCCACGCAGGAAGATCCCGGGTGTCCTCACCGGGACGCCAACCAGCGACCTTCTAGCTGTGAGGTGCTAACGGTGCTAACGGTGCTAACCACTGAGACACCTGCAGCCCTCAGTTTGACAAAAAGGTGGTCATCACAGGGTGGGTTAGGTCGTGTGGGAGTGCTGCTCCAGTGGTGACATTCAGAAACACCATCACTCCTGTTCACTGAGGCTCACCCAGTAGGTTCACTGATTTCTGTTCAGCTAATGAAGTGATGTGATCGTTTCAAGCTTTTCCTGGTCTTCTGTTCAAGTGAACCAGGTTTCATTCTGAAAAGCCAACGATGAACTGATTTGGACCGACTCACTGGTAATGAAGGTCACCTTTGATGTTCTGGAAGGATTAAGGTTTGGAATGTTCCTTCAGGAAGCAGAGCTGCACAGATTGATCGACTAAGTTCATCTATTAAGTTAATCTCCAGATATTCTTAGAATTGATGAATCGGTTTGTTGTAAGAAAACCTGTTTAGATCGCAGCTTAACGGTGAAAACTGTCGGCGTTCAGGCTCAGAGATGAACACAGAAACTCTCAGAGCTAAGATTCTCTTTAAAACACCTGTCAGCTATGAATTCAGACAAACACACTTCTGCAGCCCACATTCTGTTCATAGTCAGAGTCAGATGGAAGGAACCGTGTTTCTAACCAAATACTGTCTGTGGTCGACAGTCCACCAACTTGTTCTTTAGAAAATAGCTTCTCCTCAGAGTGAGTCCTGTCTGCAGATGGTCCTGGTAGGTTCTGGAGGGGAAACGAGCCTTCTATCGTCTAGAACTTGTTGTGACCACAATCACACATGCTGATATGAGCCTGGACAGTTTATCCAGAATGCACTTTGTAAGGTTTCCTCTGGTGAATGACTGTTGACGTGAACTACGTGGATCAGAGACGAACACAGAACCCGTCACATGACTCTCCTGATGAGCCCGTCGTCAGTGGATAAAACAGAAATCATCGGACATGTTCAGTTTAGCAGAAAGAGCAGGAAGCCGTCAGACCTTCATTTAAGACTCATTAAAAATGTTTGTTTGACCAATGATCAATCAGCTGATTGGTTTCTGAGGGCCCATGTACTTCTACTGACTGATGCTTCTGCAGCTCAGCGACACCTTGTGGCTGTCGAGAAACCTGCAGCTCATCAGAATTAAACACCTGAGCTCCACCCACCTGCACTCACCTGAGCTTTCCTCTGTCCTGCTCTCTCTGTAGCCTTCCTCAGGCCCTCCTCCTCCTCCTCCTCCTGATTGGTTGGGCAGTCCACAGTCTTTCTTGAGATTGGCTGCACAGTGGCCAAGAGGGCGGGGACAGTGAAGCAGGACAGGAAGCGCGCCTTCAGCAGCTGGTAGGCGGGGTTACCTGAAAAACGCTCCGCCACCAGGTGTCGCACCGCCGCCACCATCGTCGCCCCCTCGTCTTCCTCATCCTCCTGCTGCTGGGCTGAACTGAGGGAGGGAGCTGCAGGGAGACAAAACAAACACACCTGAGAACACACCTGGGTTGCTTCAACACAAACTGTGTGTGCAACAGGTGAGACAGGCGTTACCTGGTTGTTCCTCAGACGCTCTGAGGTCAGAGGTGGAGTCTGGCAGGTCAGGTGGCGACTGCCTAGTAGCGCTCTCGGTGCTGCTCTCAGGTCTGTCAGGTGTGGGTTTGGTCTGGGGGCGTCGGGGTTCAGAGCCTTGACACAACAGCTGCAGAGATGCCTTAGTGAGGGACTTTGTAGACCGGAGCAGCGCACTGAGCGTGCTCAGACTGCTGACAAATGGCGGCAGGTAGGGCAAGGCCACGCCTGCTCCAGGTACCATCACCCCTGCCTTCCCACTCAGCCAATCACACACCTCCGCTTGTGGCTCCATGAACATGAGGGCGGGGTCAAACTGCAGCGCCTCCCTCCTGAGGGGGGGGGGCTCCGCTGGGTCCACTCTCACCACGCCCTTATAAGGAAGGAGAAGCTTGGAGGGAGGAGGGGGGGGACAGAAGGGGAGTGTTGGTGTTTGGAGGGGAGGGAGGAGGGGGGGGACAGCTGATATGAGGGCCCTGGCGAACACAAAGGGGCCAGGACCTCCTCCACACATGCCCCACACAATGCCCCGGCCCTAATGCTTGTAAATCTATTCACACATCCAGAGGCCAAAGATAATAACAAGCTGTTCAGAATGAATTTCTAATGAGCACGCTGAAGCCTCTCGCCAGTAGGAAA